TGCGCGCAGCGGGGCAGGGGGCTGGTTTGGGGCAGGCACAGGTCCCGGGTGCCCCCGGGCATGGGGGTGCGGGAGGTGGCGTGGGGGGCAGCGTGTCCCTGACCCCCCCCCCCCCCCCCCTGCCACCCCCCACCCCCCCCCCCCCCACAAGGAAGTCTCATCGGCTGCATTAGTTGGGGGCAGGAGGCACCCAGCCCCAACAGATCTATACGTCCTGCATTAGGGGCCACCGGCACGGTATAGGGTTACCCCCGACAGCAAGGACCAGGAGGCTGCCGGGGCCGGGGGGGGTGGAGGTCGGGTTCCCCCCGGCGTGGGGCTGGCGCCTGATGCTTTTGGTTTACAAACATTTTTACAGATGGGTCGATGGGGTGTTTAACCTCTCCCCACGGCTGCATCCCCTGGGGATGGGGTGCTGGGAGGGGTCCCTAGGGTGATGTGAGGGGGGCAGCGGGGATGTCAGGGACCTCCTTCCATCTGCAGTGGCAAGGATGGGGAAAGGGGTGGATTTGGCAGCTTTTTTGGCTGGCTGGGAGCAGCAGAGCATCTCATCCGCTCACCAGGCCACTTTCATCCCAGAGATGGCCTGAGGCCAGGGTGAGGGGCAGGAACCCTCCCTCCCCCTCCACCCACCCTGCAGCGGGCTGCTAATATTTTATTTAAAATATCTTTAGGAAGCGGAGGGCCGTGATGTATCGGATGTATTGAGAAAATGCTAATGTGTAATAGCGTGTGTCAGGGGCCTCGTTCATCACCCTGCACCGCCTTCTGGGGGATCCATATCTAATTAACAGTAATGAATGAGGGAGCCCACCTAATGACAGCCCGCCAGTTTGTTATGGAAATGAGGCAATCCCATTAGGCAAAACACTTAATTAAACAAACTGCTCAGAGTGGAGGCTGGAGCAGGATGGGCACAGGCCTTTTGGGGAGCCGGGGGCCCTAGTACCCAGCCCCCCACATGCCGGGGGGGGTGCACAGAGGCTGCTGCAGCCCCATAGAGCCGGGTGCCCATGGTCAACCCTAGAAGCCGTGGGCCAGGGGAGCCAAGAGGGACCCACGGGGGGTATCCGGGCCGGGGAGGGGGCAGCGGGGCTGTTCACATCCCCCTCTTGTCTCTCCGGCACATCGATGGGCACAGAGGCAGCAGAGGCCAAACACAGATTTCCAATCAAACGTGTGTACTTGGCTCCTGCTCTATTGACACTGAAGCAAGAAGGGCTCAAGGTTAATTCCTTATCAATACCCTATTGTCAGCTCATTCATCACTTGGGGAGGGCAGGGGCTGCCCAGGCTCTCCCTGCCCCAGCCCCCATGAGTTTGGGAGGGTGACTGAAGGATGCCATGCCTCCCTCTGCCCACCTCAGCCCTGCCCGAGTGGCTTGCCTCTGGCTGGCAGTGCTGGGGTGGGTACGCAGCCATGTGAGGCTGCGGAGACGAGGGGACGGGGGCTCAAGTTCAAAGGGAAGGGGATGGGGAGATACTGGGCAGGCAGAGCGAGCAGCTGCCCTGTGAGCCCCTGCCTCCCTTGCCCCAGGCTGGGTGCAGGACCTGTGCGTAGGGGGTGAATTGCGGGGTTCAGACAGTGCCCGTGGCCCCCAGTTGTGCTAGCCTGTTTCCCAACTGCCCCTCAAGCCCCCAGCCCCACGTGCAGGGGGGTCCTGCCAGCCTTTCCAGAGAGCAGGAAAGCAGGTCGGGGGGCTACAGGGACCCCAAGGGAGCTCCACAGTCCCAGTTCACCAGGGTTGTCAGGAGGGCCTGGCACCAAGCCCCATGAAGTTGGACCATGGTCTGTCTAACCACAATATTTTA